CCTCGTAGATGGTGCCAGAGAGGCTGATTTACTTCGATAAGTAGCACAGTCACGGACTGTCCGAAGGCATACAAAAGGATCATGGACCATGACCGGACATTCTTTCGCCATGATCATCGCCACCACCACGACGTCTTACACAAGACTCTCTCTTCCACCAGAAAAGCAGGTTCCACTCAACTTCAAACACCTCAAGAACGAAAGTCCCCTATCTTTCCGTAGCTACCCAAAGCCGTCATCATTATAATCATCATCATCAAGAATAGTTGGATACGTCGCGCGGCGAAACACGGCGAACATCGGCGAAGTTGGCAAAGCTGCAACATCCCAACAACCCAAGAACTTGGAAAAAAAAAACAAACGGAACAAACTCCGTTCAAGCATGCTGCCAACATTGACGTCCCGAACGTTACATGTGATTGGTGACATTGAGGACTGGATTTCCCCCTCAACTAGAACTAGGAACCACGCACACGCTGCAAACGATTGAGCGACGGGCACAACCAACACGACGTAAAGACAAAACAAAACCACATCCCTCATCTAAATGACCAAGGTCCCCCGCAGCCCTCTACCCACGACACGGGAGTTGAGAAAAGGCCTCTGACATCATAACTGCTACGGCAGAATGTACGCAGCTATTTTCAGTATTTCCCGGGGGTGGAGTTCTTTGTCCATGTTACTTTTTCTCTTCAACGGGTTCGCCGAACTCTCAGCGTGTCATGAGCAAACCCGACGTCGCCTTGAAGAACAAGCCAAAAAAGACGACCCCCTGTTTCTCGTCCGATGTAGCACTCATCCACTTTCTCGGTGGGTTTCTGCCGCACCGGCTGTGACTTGCATCAGTAGCTAGGTAGGTAGGTAATAGGTAGCTTGTCCAACTTGAAAGGGAAGTGACCTAGAGAACTAATGTAAAAGTAAGGCTGGAGTGAGATTACCTAGTAACTTGGCCGGCGAGGACTGGTTCCGATTGCCATCGATCGGGAACCGATTATTTTGTTGTGACAAGGGACGCTCCCGCGGTTTCTGCGTTGTCTACTTTTTCACACGGAAATCCAAGTCGGTTTTCAGTGAGGCTTTCTAAAGATGCGATGGCTGCCCCACAGCCCTTCATTTGCAAGTTGCAACAGACGGAACCCCAGGACAGGGCATCAGTCAACCAACACCAGTTGGCATTTCTCTGTCAATGAGAAATCCGACAGATATCAAAGCCCAAGATCGCTTGATCCAAGACAGAGCAAGAAAGCAAATATGAGGGCAAAACATGCAGCGAGACACTTGATTGACTCGGTTCGAGTCTCACGGGAGGACACCCGCTATCCCGGGTAGTACACAGCCAGCACAGGCTCAGGCTCGGATCGGAGCAAAAAATGATGGGCAACAACGTTGAACGAACACCACTGTCCACTGCAGAGGGACAGCGCAGTCAGTGATCCCAGAGACAAGGCCCCGGCCTGTCTGGCGTCCTCGACAGGGCCTAAGATTAGCGGGCAGAAAAAGTATAGAGGTCCAGGACCTTGCTGCGAGGGTGCTACTGGTGGAGAAGGTGGATACGTAGAAGTGTTCTAGATCGCAATAGACGCCAGCAATGCAAGTTTCGGTGTGTGATATGGAACGGTTTTCCCTGGAGAGATGTGGGTGGAGACGTTGTACCTGATCCCGCGCCAGTGCCCGTGACTCTCTGTCTCTCTCCAAGGGGCTATGATAGTCGCCCTGGTGAGACGACCGGTGCGGGGGACAGGAGAAGGGGTCCAGTCCGCGTTGGCTACGGCGGCCGGTTGGGCTGCCGGGTGACTCGCCCATTTTCCGCTCTGACACAGCGCCGGACTTGCGGTCGGATTGTGAAGTTGATGGCTTCTGTTCAGTAAGAAACAAGATCGACATTTTCTTGTGCGTCAAGTACGCGTTGAACCAGCGGATGAGAAGTACTCCGTAGCCGTGTCCGCTAGGCACAGCAGGGATAGCCAAACGTGGCGCGGCGGCATGAGCAGCCATGCAGTCCAAACTTGACGGCGCGGGGTCCGTCTTGTTCGAGACAAAGACAGACCTGTAGATTTGGACGAATGGCCGCCTTTCCCGTCCGTCAGATACACGACGCGCCTCCTGCGGATGAAGACTGCCAAGACTCCAAGGTTCAAACATGATTATCTTTCCTGTCGAGATTTGGCCCTCAAAGGCGCGCGGCGGTGCTGAAAGTGATGACGTTTCGATTACGGGTCCCGCACCGAGCAGATGGAAACCTTGGGTAGTGGTGGTACCAAAATTGCGCTGAAGAAAAGGGGGGTTCGCAGGGCTCAAGGTTGACGGCGCCGACTGCATGACGAAAGAATAAGGCCATTTGGACGGATCGCGGATAGGTATCCGTAGTTGCAGTACGAATGGACTACAAAGTATACGGATAGAAGGTGAGAGAAATCAGGGTCCATAGTTGTCTGAGAGAAAACTGCGGGAGCCAATTCCCGCTGCAAAACCGCTGCCCTGGCCTGAAAGTACAACAAGCGTTTGAAGGTTTCAAGCGGACGAACAGCAGTTGTCCATTTGGTGACAACAGGCATCAGTGCTCTATGGTTTCAAGCCAGTAGAAAGGCGTAAAGGCGTGTGAGTGGACACGAGGACTTGTCTCGAGTTGGGAGTTGCCGAATACTTCTTGGCTTCTGTCTGCATCGTTGATTCTGCCCAGTGAACCTGTAGTGCTACTGTCTTCGTGATTGTGTAGCATCCGTCCTTGGCAGCTTGATGAGCCGTTGGGGTCTGCCGCCTGCGAACCGAGAACCCTGCAGATGGCACAGAGTTACTTTGGCCTGGCGCTATGCAGCCTCAGAGATAGCGCAGCCTGTACCTAGCAAATGAGAAGAGCCGTCGCTGATGAGCCGGCATCGAGTGACCGCGCAGCAAAGGACCGAGGCGAGTCGGGAATGTTGGCACTATCCCAGATCCCTAGCAACTTACGACTCGAGGTAGAGGAGTCGCGGTTGGATTGCTCCGATCAAACAAAGACTAGCAGAGTAGTGGGTGGGCAGTTTTGCGAGTAAGGTACCGTTGGCGGTGCTTCAAGTTCTTGCACGTGAGCAGTGATCTAGTGGGCCGGAAAATGTAGAGATCATTGATCATGATTACGATGGGGCCAGAAACGAACAGAACGTCTTTGGTAGGCTGACGGAGTAGCTGAATTTGCTGAAAAGCCTCAAGGGTTCAAGGGAATGAGTGCCATGGCCGAAGTAGTGCGGCATACCTGGGAGCTAATTCACCATCCAATTGTCACTGAGCTGTTGAGAATGAGACAACCGGGGGGCGTTGGTGTGATGACTTGTTGAAACTTGAAGGCGCCGTCTGCCGTCTGCCGTTATCGCCCAGTGGGAGCCCCAGGTCCCTGAGCTTCTGCTGCGATGGAAAGTGAACAGGTCGTTAAGGAGCTTGGCGTGTTGACCTTGTACTGTGCGGTAGATAGCGGTGCTGCTGGTGCTGGTGTTGGTGTCGGTGCTACTGCAACAGAAGACAGCCAGACTGGAAGGGAGCGAGCTGTGCAAGATGGAGCTGTGCAAGATGGAGCTGTGCAAGATGGGACGGAGCTACGTCCGGTGCGGGTGTCCGTGTGACAGGCGTGTCCCCTGTTTCTTCAATGTGCCGTCCTACCTAGTGCCAACTGCCCAGAAGGTTGCAAGAAGCGATGGTACTCGAACGGTCAGCGAGCGGGACGCTTGGGATGCTGGGCGCGCGAGCTAAGATGGAGTGGGGATTAGTACTTTGCTGAATCCTGATAAAAGCTGGTCAACTGTTCGTGTCGGTGAGGGGAAAAAACAGGGCGGCATGTCAATGCCAGTCTGCCAGATGGATGGGACGGAGTGGGAGGAACCATGGATGCGATGGATGGGTGCGATGGATGCAGAGTGAGACCCAATGGCTCGAGGGCACGCCGCACCCGGGGGGGGGGGGGGTTACGACTGCGCTTTGCGGAAGGAATCCACCGGCCGAAAATGGATGCCCGGGCAGAAGTCCGACAATCAACGGGGGGAGACGGGTGAACGGGGGACGGGAAGACGGGATGTGAAAGATGATGACGGGGGGTTTGGAGAGCGGAAGGACACGGGGGTGAAGGGGCTCAAGGGGGGATGGGATGGCGAAAGGATGGGGGAAAGACGGGAGAAATGTAAAAGATGAGGAATGCCAGTATGGAATTTGTGGGCAATTTCCCATGGGCAAATCCATTGGCATCGGGTTCCTCGCTTTCTGCATTGGGGTCCCGGGCAAGGAAGGTAGATAGTCAAGTCTCAGGCATCTAGACGAATACAGTAAAACAAGAGACATGAGGGCAAGAAAGGGGAGGGTCAAGAATGGAAAACTTGGAGAAAGACAGGCACGGGATTCGAGAAGGGAACATGGGATAGTGGGGGGGACAGCAACGATACCTAGGAAGGTAGGTAGGTACACAGCAGGTGGCCGCGGGGGCGTATGGGACTCATGGGAGTGGAGGCAATTTGCCATAAACTTGGAAATGGCAAAGAAAATGGGAAAACCCTCATAAAACAAAGTGAGGGCTGAGTCGGAGCTGAAGCACAAGATGGGGAAACGGTGCCACGGTGGAGGTTTTCCGTTCCAGCTGTCGCCCTTCTCCAACTTTTGATTTGGCAACGTTTGGGAACTTGCAAGTAGACGTACCTACCTACCTTACCTTACACATACCCCCACGAGACCTCACCTCACGTGCTGAGGCAATCTGCCATGGCAGCCAGGGATATCTCCGACCCGAACTTGTTCTTTCCCTGGGACCGCATTTGTTGTCAACATGGAAGGTACGAAAAATTGACACACGCATCCATGCCTTCCGCGCGTGTATCTAGGCACTCACCCTTGGGCAAGAGGAAGGTACTCGTAGAACCTGCCGGATTCCTCTCAAAAGTAACAACAGTGTCTTAGTAAACCACCTCAGCTAAGGTATGGATACCTTAGTAGGTATACGTATACCATCCAGCATGCCATCCGACGGCCTGCCAATCCTGCAAAGTTGGAATGGGATTGGCGCTTCACCTGAAGGGACATGTTTATCGACATTTCAGCGTTACCGGTGCAAATGGCCGCGTCCCCCGTTTCAAGTGTGCCTGGTTGTATGGAATTGAGTATCACTCTTGTTGTTGACCGTTGAAGCCTGAGGACTTTCAAATATCAGGTACGAAATACTGCACTCCGTACAGACAAAGGGGCGTTGCTCTATTGACCATGTCAACGTGCAAAAGCTTGCGCTGTTGTCTTCGGCGACTTTCCGGCTTGATGCCCTGCCATGCTTCCATTCTGAAATTCTCGTCGAAATCCAGAAACAATTGTTGACGGCATCGCTGAGAAACTGACTGGGAATCGGCAGGTTTGAGGTCCAACCGTTGGATAGTCGGCGGCTCATCATCACTAAGGTACTGCACCAGGTACACGAGTCGAACAGAGTTGATGGAATAGTTCTAGGCCCTCGGGACGATGAACAGAGTTTGAGTGAATTGGGCAGACAAAGTTGCAAAGCTGATAAACTTTGCTGTGTCACGCAGCTGTAGCTACCTGAACCTCAAGGCTCAAGGCTCAAGGCTCAAGGCTTCACGGGTGGTATTGCGAATGTTCGTCGAATGGAAAGAGAGGGGCCCCATGCCGAAGTGGCAGCTGAAATGGACGACGGGTACCTGGCCGTTCGTAATGCTCGCCTACGTCATTCCCCAAGAAAGGTCCGTTAGCAAGGGGGCGGTTCGCAGAAAAGCCAATTTGGCGAGGAGTCATGCCAAACTCCCGCCTCCTGGACGAAATGGCCTGATGATTCTATTCATCTGATTGAACCAGGAGCCATCTGCTGAAAATAGGCAACGAGGCAGTTTTTGATAGCTTCGTAATTCGTACTCCGCAAGGTAGAAGATGGCCCCGTCTTACGCAGAAGGACTGGAACACTGATGGCTGCAAAAAACGGTTCTCTCAGTGCAGGTACTCCGTACCTTACTGTGGTTTTGGTTGGAGAGAAGGTACGTATCCGATGCTCCCACACCAGTTGAGCGCAGAGAGGCGCGATTGGCTGGCTGGCGGTGTCGAAAAGGGGTCCAGACTCTTCGAGACTTGGGATGATGATGCTAGATTGCTCATCTACATGGGCCCTATGACGTCTGCACCATGCGGACCCCACTTCCCAAATAAAGAGTGAGATCTCGAGTCTGGGCAACTTTGGAAGGCGTAAGGTACAGGGAAGGTATCGGTACCTTTCATCTCTGAATACCTAAGAACGAATTCTCCCATGGTAATTGGCTGTGATGCATCTCAACTGCGACGTCCTGTTGTGATGGTCTTGCGATGGCCGCAACAGCGCTATCATACACAGTAAAGCGCCTGCTTGCGTCCTAGGATGACCAAGGACGAGCATGCCCTCGGGATACCAGTATATCCAGTTTTACGCCGTTGTGTCTTGGACGGTGTGTGCTGTTTGTGAGGTGGGTGTCGCGGTCTCCGCCCTGCTACTGCGCGGCTAAGGTAATGGGGGCTTGCCCTGTCAATATTTCCTCCACTGGCTTTTGGTCAGCTCGCAGAAGATACGAGGAGCACAGCTGAGCCTGGTTTTTGCAAGTCGACTGACGTCTGGATTTATTAGCCGGCGCTTGCGCTTGTTGTGTCGTGTGTTTCGGACATGGTACTGTTGACTTGTTCTTCGTTGCTTTTTCTGGCCTTGGGATCTTGCGGCATCAAACCGTTCTCTTCAAGGCCCTGCTTCCTTGTCTCCTTGCGTGGTTGTGGGATCCAGAGCAGTGGTTCCAAGGCAGGTGGGAAAAAACGGTACGTGTTCGGTACTTTGCCTAGGTAGCCTCAGGTACCTAGTGTACGGATAGAAAGAAAGCAAGAAAGAACGAATGCTATCCGTGGGAAGGTTGCGCTCTCTGCCTCTGTGCCAAAGCTCATCTCTTGAGGGACGCACAGCCGAGAGCCTGCCCAATGAGAGACGACGACAGGACCCCGTCAAAGGAGCGCCCCCATTCTATGACGCGGTGGACGAGGCATCAGCCCTGTGGGAATGGGAGCTGAGTCTCCTACCGTGCGAATACCTCTCTCTCACCATCCTTGCCTGAGCAGCGCATCCCAACACAGTGTTCGTATGTGCTGTATGTGAACCAGCATCCTCACGTGATGGGTTGTGTCTCACACAGGGCTGATGTCAGGGACTCCGCCGAGCTAACCTCACCGCGCCGATCCCTCCCGTTCTGGACGACACACGACCTCATCAGACATGACACCCTCTTTTGTGTCCTTTCTCTCCCCCACTGCGCGCCATGCCCTCGTGCTGCCCTTTCCTCCTGGTTCGCACTCCCACTGCCTCTGTCCATCTCTCAGCACCCGTGTCTTGTGAATTGTTTGGTCATTGGGACTCAAGAAGCGCCTCTACGGATCCCCGTCTCGTGCTTACCTTACCTTAGGTACACCGTCAGGTCCGTTTTGGCCCAGGGACAGCGGGTACTATTGTGCCTGCTGGCAATGCCATATCCTGTACTCCGTACTCCGTACTCCGTATCGCCGCTAGAGAATGCGGTTCCGCACATGTGCTTTGAACACTTCAAATTGCAGAGAGGGCTGAGAACACGCTGCCTTGCCTTGCCGTGCTTGCCTTGCCTTGCCTTGCATAGCTCTAGCCATATTGGTTTTTGCGAGCCGTTGCCCAGATAGACCACCATCCCATCATGAAGAAGACGACTTGAATGTAGATTTGGTGCCCCTGACAGAAACCCAAACTCTCACAAGCAAAGTCAAGCTCAGCCTAACAGCTTCAGAGTCCGAAATGAAACCAAAAAAAGTATACCTGGGAAAAGCGCACCAGAAAAGAGAGGAAGAGAAAGAGAATAGCTGCCGCGAGACACATACACACCACACCTGTTTCTTGCTCCCACACCCAAGTCGGTATCCCTTCCCTGCCCGCAAGCCCAGGGGTGGCCCCCCTTCTTCTTTCTACTTTCTCGTGCGCGTTCCCATTCCATTCCCTCCTCTCCCAAGCAAGACCTGGCTGGACCCTTTTTTTTTACTCTCTCTCTCTCTCTCCCCCCCCTCTCTCTCTCTCTTTCCCGTCTTCCCCCCCCCCTTCCCTTTTCCTACTGGGAATTGTTGTTCCCGATGCTCGCCTTGTCTTCCACACACCCCCAGACCTAGCAAAGTCAGGTCCTCCTTTTTTCCTTTTCGTGTTCAGTGCGCCTTTGATTTAGCTACCTCCCCCTGCTGGCCCATTTGCCCAGTTGCTCGCCTCAGTGCCTGTTTCCTTGGACCTTGCTTGGTCACCCACTTCGTCTTCCGCCGTCGTGTCGTGTCGTCCCGCTGCCTGAGCTCCATTGCGCTGCGCTCAACCCGAGGCGTCTTCGCTCTATTGTATCCCATACTACGCATACCCAACGATTCAGAGTGTTTTCCCTGGTCCGTACGGTACCTTACTAGAGCACACATAGCAGTCACACTGTCACAGTCCTCGCTATCTCAATCTCTCTCTACTGGTCCTCGGGACGCCGAACGCCACCACCTTGTCCGGCTCCCGTCAGCTCAGCCCAGCCCATTCTCGACCACACCGTCCTGTCTTCTTGACAATCGAGAGTAGCTTCAAAGTCAGAGTCAGAGTAATAACCATCAGGTGTTTCCCCCCCTTCTCTCTCTCTTTCTCTCTCTGTCTCTGCTCTCTCATCCTTCGCCCAGGGCATCCATCACCGCTCCAGAAAGTCACAACTCAACCAAGCAAATAGCCAAGCAACCACACCCCCCAGGTCCATACCGGGTTCAGATCGCCACTTGTGCCGTCACGTCAGAACCCCCCCCGCAACCTTCTTTTCTCTCTAAAAGACCCCCCACTGCCTGTCCCTTTCCCTTTCAAAGAGCCTCTTCCGCACACCCTCCCTCCCTTCCCATTCCCTCCGATCTATCTGAACCCTATCCGACCTTGCCTCCTTAACCGTCCCGCCCAAAAAACGCCGCCATACCGGAATGGCGCTTTAATTGTTGACCAAGGCCTCGCAACACTTGGCCAGCCGTCCGGAACAATATCCTCCAGAAACATCCGTGGCTCACACACACTGGACATCCCATCCTCTCTACAACTACCTACACCTACACCTTCACACTAACCATGCTCGACAAAAGGAGCAACGACGGCGCAACATCCGTCCACTACACCATGAAGACTCCTCACTCAGCTCCCAGGCCCTCGCCTGCACCGCGATCTTCCCATAGCCACTCCCACTCACAGTCCAAACTCGCCGTTCCGCCCGCAAAGACTCCTAACCCTTCTACTCCCGTGGCATCTCCAAGAATGCCTTACTCCGTGGGCCAGTCCATGCCTCCAGGGAACCTCACCCCGGCAAGACAGGCAGAGGCGAGAGCCGCGAGTCCAAACTACTTTGGACTCGTCGTCGAGCAGTCTGTCGATCCAAGAGAATCTGCCTCCATGCCACGAGACAACTGGAGCTCACCGACTTCGTCCGTCCGCTCGTTCGGCGCCGCGCTGCCCAAGCAAGTTCCCATCGATGCTAATCCCGACTATGAGGCCTTCAAACGGCAAGCCGACCTCAATCGCGGCGTGAGCTTCAGCCTCTCTTCCTCGCACTTTCCGCAAGCTCCCCCGAACCCGACCACTCTTCGCCCTCGACCGCCACGGTGGAATACGCATGCCAGCGACCACGCCTCGGACTTTTCGATACCTCGAATTCCCACGGAGCGAAAGCAGAGCAAGGAAGTTGACCAGCAAAGCTTGAACGACTCCGCATACGCCTCGTTGGATTCCAAGCGAAACTCCGAGGCGTCGATACAACCCCCACAGATCTTAAATTTGAACATGCCAAGATTCGAATCGCCGATGCAATCTGAGTCGCCTTTTGAACGTAGAACAACACTGTCGAAAGTAGAGGACCGTCACCCCAGGTTATCCATTTCACAGAACAAACCCGATGCGCCAGCGCCCAGTGCTGCTCGAGCAAACCATCCACGCGCCGAGACCCTACCGCCGACTATGGAGAGCGGGCCCTCGTTGATAGCGCCGTCGCAATTGAAGGACCTGATCGAGGCTGATGGTTCAGAAAGTGATCTGTTGCTTCTGGACCTGAGAGTGTCACAGCAATATGCCCAAGCTCGGATCGAAGGCGCGCTCAATCTCTGCATTCCGACGACGCTGTTGAAGCGAGCTACCTTCAACTTGACGAAACTTCAGCAGACCTTTCAAAGCCCGGATATGCAGGGGCGCTTTTCACAGTGGAAGTCGACGAAGCACCTCGTTGTCTATGATGCTTATTCTGCTGAGAAGCGTGACGCCGTTACGTGTATGAACATGGTGAAGAAGTTTACGAACGAGAGGTACTCCGGCAACATGTACATCCTGCGGGGTGGCTTCAACGCTTTCGCTGACGCCTATCCCGACCTTGTGGATGAGGGATTCGGTCCTCCAGCGAGCGGCTCCGGTCCGGCAGCATCGGGTGACGGTAATCGGCCCGGCATCGCCCCTGTCATTGGAGGTGTCATGCTACCAATGACACAGAACAACGCCAATCCGTTCTTCTCAAATATTCGTCAGAACATGGATCTCGCCGATGGAGTTGGTCAGCTGGACATTGCTCGACCGTCGGGGCTGGAGTCACCTACGCTACCTAGATGGCTCCGTGATGCCTCTAAGCCGAGCGATCATGGCAAGCAGGTATCAGACAAGTTCCTCAACATTGAAAAGGCTGAGCAGTCACGGATGAAGGCGGCCTACTCCATGTTTAGTGGGAGTGAGAAGGACAAGACTGTTCCGCAGCTTTGTGGTATCGAGAAGGGCGGCAAAAATCGCTACAAAGACATTTTGCCGTTCGAGCACGCTCGGGTCAAACTGCAAGGCCGTTCCGAGGGGGCTTGCGACTACGTCAATGCCAGTCACGTCAAGGCGTCTCGGAGCAATAAGAGGTACATCGCTACCCAGGGTCCGCTCCCCGCCACATTTGAGGTAAGCTATCGGCAAGATTTCCGCGATAGGTATATCGGACACTAATTCAAGGCAGGATTTCTGGTCTGTTGTTTGGGAACAAGATATCCGTGTCGTCGTCATGTTGACCGCGGAGTCGGAAGGAGGCCAGCTCAAATGCCACCCGTACTGGCAAGGCAGAGATTTTGGCTCGATCAAGCTCAAGCCGCTATCGGAGAAGAAAGTCTCGTTGGACATTGACAAGCACCGTACCAACCAGGGATCAAGTGCTCCTTCTGCAGCAGCTGCAGCGGAAGCTGGACGCCGGCGCGCGCAAACGACGACTACACTGGAGGCATCAAACGCAACTGTCTCGCCATCTCCGCCACAAGGCGAGACGCCGCATGTTATCATTCGGAAGTTTGCGTTGTCTCACGGCTCACACCCCTTTGCGCCCATTCGTGAGATTACTCACTTGCACTATCCTTCCTGGCCCGACTTTGGAGCGCCTGCGCAGCCGTCACATCTGCTGGCCCTCGTGGACCTAGCCAACGTGATGCAACGTTCAGCTTTGCCGGTCGATACGTCCTCCGTGAGCAGTGCTCGTGCGTCTCCGGAATCAGGCCCTATTGCTTGGTATGACGAGCCGGAGATGGACCAGAGGGCCAGGCCAATGCTGGTGCATTGTTCTGCGGGATGTGGTCGAACCGGTACCTTCTGCACTGTAGACAGCGTTATCGATATGCTGAAGCGGCAACGACTGAACAAGACGACCACGAAGCCCGTGAGGAAGCGGGATTCGGACGGTGATATAAAGATGAGCGGATCAGAGGAGGCTTCGCCCCGGGAGAAGACCTTTGATTTCACTCCGAGCAGCCGTCGCACTAGCGCCGACGTGCGACGGGGCTCTCCAGACAAAACCCCTTTAGACACGGCGTGGTTGGCGGACGACAGCGACACTATGGATCTCATCCAGAAGACGGTTGAGGACTTCCGCAGCCAACGACTCAGCATGGTGCAAAGCCTACGTCAATACGTCTTGTGTTACGAGACGATTGTTGAATACGTATGGCGATGGCACGAGAGGAGCTCAGGTTCTCCCAAGGGAGGAAGAGCACGAAGTGGAAGCTTGCAGCTTAGAGGGGACAACTAATTACGCGGCGCGGCTTACATAGGGAGATGGACGGAAAACCGGAAACGGAACTCGTGGAGAATCGTAATTCGATACCCCTGTTGGACAGCAGAAGATGCTAGCATCAGCGAGTGATGGGGAAGAAAGCATTGTGCATTTTTCTTCGATGGCAAATAAGGCACTACGGAAAGAGACACACACACCGGGCCAGGGCCAGGTCAGGCATGAGGCTAAAGGCGTTTGGGCATTTCAGAGCATATATTACGATGCATGGCGTTTGGTACTCGACTATTCTGTCTGACGGCCCCAGCATGTTTGGGATCTCGACTGCGGTCAGTCCCTTGGAATTGTACATTAGAGAGGCGTTTGAACGAACGGGAGAAAGAAAGAGAGAGTAGAGGAGCTGCCATCTGGCATACTCCCTCCCCCTTTGACCTCAATCTGGGCTCAATTATTCTCGAGTGAAGTGGAAGTGGATGCCGTGTGTAAATCAATGACGTGGGGAGACACCAACGAGTTGACTGATTTACCCATCTGCCAAACTTCGTTAACCCCCAAGTCAACTCAGATATCTTCTCGGTGTCACTTATTTCAGGACAGTAGTCCACTTCCTCAGCCATCTGCCATCCATCTAGCACATGCATTTCCCTCAATGATGATGATGAACTACCCTAGGAAGGTAGGACGAGGGGTAAACCGTTCAAAAACAGCCATGATTTACATCATTTCGGTGGGGTACACCAAGGGCCCCTCCCTTCCTCTTCTCGGATTTGCGAGGTATCAATATGCAGGCGTGCGTTGGTCAAGGCGAGGTGAAGTCACTTTGTCGGAGAACATGGCATCAACGCCTACCAGTACCGCCAATATGGGAGAGGGCAGAAAGAAATGTGATGAACGGTGTAATGTCATGGTGGCTGATTCCATGATTCTATGTAGTCGTACATAATTAGCCGTACAAGCGCCACATGCGCGCGCAAATGGGCGCAGACGCTGTTTCCACCGCCGCCTCTCCTGAAGTCTTCCGCCCTCCCTGCCTGCCTGCCGACTTCCGCCAGCCGAGTAAACATGTCGTCGTCGATCGTTTGCTGCTCTTTTTCTCTCTCCCTCCCTCTCGTTGCATACCCCACAAGCTGGGCGCATGCACTTACTTCCAGAGCTTGCCGAGTGACACCTCCTTGTCGTCGTGCTTGTTGAGGATCTTGGCAGTGGCGAGCTCAAAGTCCTCTTGGGTGACGTGAACTCTGCGCTCACGAAGGGCGTACATGCCGGCCTCTGTGCAGACACCCTTGAGCTCGGCTCCGGAGCAGCCGTTCATCTTCTCGGCAATCTTTGTGAGGTTGATGCCTCTTGTCAAGTTCATCTTGCGGCTGTGGATGCGGAGAATGTCGGCACGGGCCTCGACGCTCGGCGGGGGGAACTCAATCTTTCGGTCGATACGTCCGGGACGCAGCAGGGCGGGGTCGAGGATATCGAGACGGTTGGTGGCCATGATGACCTTGATGTTCTTGGTGGGCTCGAAACCGTCAAGCTGGTTGAGGAGCTCCAGCATGGTGCGCTGGACTTCGGAGTCGCCGCCGGATGAGCCCTCGACACGGGAGGAACCGATGGAGTCGATCTCGTCCATGAAGATGATGGAGGGGGCGTGCTCGCGGGCCATGACGAAGAGCTCACGAACCATGCGACTACCCTCACCAATATACTTTTGCACCAATTCGGATCCGGACACCCTGATGAACTTGCAGTCGGTGTGATGTGCGACGGCACGGGCGAGCAGCGTCTTTCCCGTACCGGGAGGGCCGTAGAG